CTTTGCTGTTGAAGAGACAACTTGTTGACAGCAATAAGTTATGGAGTAAACAAACACGGCTCAAAGACCTCCACATGATGTAAAAAAATTTTCTTCCCTTCTTTCCGCAGGGAAAAATGAGGAAATGAAATGATTATGTCGAAAAGAGGTGCCAGAAGTTGAATCCGATGAAAAAAACTCACACAACAGAGGAAAATAATTTTCGCCTTAAGATAAAAGCTGAGATAACCAAATAAAAAGGGCCTTTTTCCTCAGACAAATGAGTGTTCAAGTGGAAAAGTCAGAACGTGACGACACTTCAAGACGTGGAGGAAAAAGACTTTCTGACATATTTGAGAATAAAAAATGCCACCGCTTGACATGAAGATGGAAAAAAATTCAAAGCCCAAGAAGAGTCGAAACCGCCTTCCTTGTGTAAAAACCTCACACTTCATAGATCAAGACAAAAAAATTGAAAGGAGAAGCAAAGAACGGATTCAAGAATTAGAACATCATTAATTAACAGAGAGTGAATTAGGGAGCTATAGAGCCGAAGAAGAGCGAGCAGTAGGTTCAACATTTGTCATATTTATATTTAGTAACATAATTTTGATCGATTACCACAGCTGACATTAGGCAGAATATATTTTCAACAACGAAGAAAGGGGAGGGAGCAAAATATAAAACCCGTTTTTTTATACATTCCATAAAAACCTCAACAGAAGGCAAACCATAGAGCGTAGTATAGGATTTGCTTAGCGTGGATGATGGCCTCGGCTATCGATTGTGTCTCTAGGGGTGAGGGTAGAGAGAGTATGTCAGAAAAAGTTAATATTTACCTGATAGGATTCCTCAAAATTGCTCAGCGAAAAAAAATAGGAACGTTAAATAATTGTAAGGTGTGTATATTTTTAGAAGTTAATCCTCCTCGAAAATGGTTTCAAAAACTATGCTAAAAGCAGCGCCAGATTTCTTTGAATTTTTTGTAAAGGAAATTTTCTAATAGATGCATTTTTAACTTTCAAAATCATGATACATCTTCAATGTACAAATCCAAAGGAAAATTTGAAAGTGATTGAAAGAAATTTTCAGAAATCGTACATTTTCAAAGCTTCTCAAATATCTCCTGGATTCTTTGAAGATACTGCTGCCACGATATTACCTTATGATGACCGCAAAAACTAAAAAAGGATGGGAAAAAAAAGAAGGTGGATGAGGCGTTAATGAGAAATTTTCCCTTAATGTTTACCACAATGTTTTCATGTCACTAACACTTTGGTGTTTTTGATTTGGAACGCCTCGAGCGTATGAATGAAAATGAAAATGAGATTACATAATGTGATGTAAACGATCTAGTTCTGAATAAGCGTTTTTATGGCATTTTACGATTGATTCTTCCTCAAAATATTTCATTTCCAGAAAGAAGTGAAAATGACACATACGTGGTTGATCGAAATTGTGAGCGCAGTTTTTGTTTTTTTTTTCAGTTGTATTTTCTCTAATGATAAGGCACGTAAAAACGAACATGATAAAATATAGAACCAGATCAACAGCACGAAATTGCGTGCAGAGATATACAGAACGTGCTTGAAATTTTTTAATATCTGCTAGAGTCATAAACAATTTTTCGATTTCTCAACATAGAAAAAATGAATATTATGAATTGATTGAGAAGTATGGTCATATTCAATCCGCACCAGGGATTTCTATAACAATGCTGAAAAAGCTATGAAACAAAAGTAGCGTTAAATTTTTTCGGTAATTTCAATGTATTTCTAACTAAGAGAAACACAACTTTTTGCAAAACACTGTATTGTTGAGAACAGTAGATGTAAGAGAATTGCTCATGGAAAGTTGAGTAAATAGACTAGCATAAGAGAAACAACAGCGCAAATCAAACTCATCCCAGTGTCGAACATATTTTTTGTAAATAAGGGTTGTGATTCGCCTCCAGCAAAAGTTATAGTGTACACCTTTGGTGATACTGGCAGCGACATTGCAATTTAATGGCAAAAGCAAAAATCGCTAATGGAATAAGAGATGTTTCCAAAGTCAACAGGTCAAGTAGTGAGAAAAACAAAGATTATCGAAGGAACCCACATTCTAAACAGTTGACTTGAGCAATAAACTTATAGCGGAAAAGCGTTTTTGTGGGACAAAACCCTAACACTAGGCTAATTAGAGTTGATGTTCTAAATACGAACTTTGCATCTCATCATAATGCTTTCTTAAAAGGTTATGCACATAAGCGGCCGCCGTTATTTCGATGCTCCTAAAAAAAGAGGTTAACCTTTTAGAAAGTTTCTAACCCATTGACGACGATGCCTAATTTTGCGTGGCGGCACTGTGAGACGACGTGATTTTGCACAACAATTTCGGCATGGGAAAGTTTTGTGGTCGATTACGAAATGCAAGGTTGTTTTGTAAGCAACTATAAACTTTTTCTGCAAGACGAAGCTTTACAGGTCATAGAAGTGCAAAAAGTTGGAAAAAATATTGATATTTGAAAAAAATACTAAACCTTTAAATTATATGACTTTGCAAAGAGGTATGGGCCACCGGTGGTACATCGTCCCTGGCAGCAGAAAGTGCGTGGGCCACCTGTGGCCCACATCGTCGTCAATGGGTTAATCTTGTACAAAGTTGAATGTTGAACTCAGCGTCCACAAGGACCCTAACACAACAGAATTTAGTTTTTTTCATGAAATTATGTTTAACAGCAGCCTTTTCACAGTAACTCCATATGCTGGAAGTGCCTACCGTAGTCTTACAGTCAACCTAATTGAGGCCAGCTTTACAAAATGTGCCTAAAGCTTCTTCAGAGACTTCATGACAAGAGAGTTATTAACAATCAAAGAGCATGCACATTTTTTGGGACACCTTGTACTAAACAATGCTAGAAAGAGCACCACTGTTGCTTCTGCTGCTGCGCGAAAGCAAAAAAAATCTCCTATTTTTTATCTACCCAACCTACATTTCACAGGAAGAAATGCAAAATAATAACTGAACTCTGTAATGCCATGAAATCTAGCGCTTGCACAAGTCACTCCAGTGTCGCAGTGTTCCATTTGCAGAGAGCTTTAATATCGAATAAGTAAAAATTACGGAGAGAAAATCAAATAAAATCATAGGCAAATAATAAACTTGCGATCATGAAGAAAGTTTCGAAGCTTTTCGCTATCTTCAGTATCTTTTATCAAAGAACCAGATCAAATTATAGAATAGCAGTTTTTGAGATGTATATAAAAAGCTCCTTTTGCCATCATTGAAATGTGCACAAATCCTTGCATATGCTGGAAAATTTTTTTTCGACATTCTTCCACTCCCCATAAAATTCATTTAATGCGAAAACTTCCCAAACCGACCGAATGCACCATCAGGTTGATTATTTCTGACACAATGGTGCATTCATGGACATCGCCGACTGCCTAAGAAATTCTCATTTGCTTTCTGTTGATTTGCACCGTCGTAAATGGCGAGAGTTTTGGACAGGAGATAAATAACACACATATTCCAGGTTTTTTTTTGCTCAGGAGATGTAAAGACAAAAAAGGGGCGGCTTAATACGAAAAGGAAAAAAATAATAATCTGCCCAAAATGAGCATCCTTCATTGCCCTCATTACTATTCGCAACAAAGTTCTAATTCTGCTTCCGACATTCTAACGAATATTGTTTACTCAACTTTCGAGCAGCGTTCCTGTTTTTATTAATTTTCGATATGTTTAGTCAACTATGTAGCAAACTTGTTCCTCAGCACATTTTCTCCTAACTTCTTGAAATTCTAGAAAGAGATTCTTTTGTCAAGAAGTACTTAGAATTTTGCTAAAGCGTCAAGATTACAAAGTAGTATCAACACTCGGTAGTTTTGCTTCGCTACAAATAAAGTTTTTCTCTGAACCACCCCTACAAAAACTTCGTGGGTGGGTGGGGGGGGGGGGGGGAGGGGGGTGAACAGCTGTCAGCATAATCTAAAAATCAAGATTCTTCGTTTTTGCATTTGGCATTATTGCAAGAGTTGCTATCGTGCTGTTAAAACTTTGCTATCCTTCCCTTGCGAAGCTCAAAAATTTTGCGCGTTATCCTGCGTGCATGCTCTCTTTGCTCAGTGCACTCTTTCGCAATTCTCAGACAACCCGTGCTGCTACGGCTAGCTATGCCAGTGAATTTCATTGTCACTGCTACAGCCGACTGGAGGGCAGAGAGGGGGGGATCAACTACAGAAAATGAAAAATTGAAGAGCCTCTTGCACCACAGTATCCAACAGCCACCCTGCTTGACATGTAAGACGTCTTAGGCCCCGGTCAGACTTCACGCGATTTAATCGTCGCGACCAAATCGCCAAGATTTCCATTCATTTTCATTTCACATTCAAAAATTTCGGTCTGGAAAAGTATCACAACCGAATGCAAGTTGATCTGCATGGAAAGATGTTGTAACAGTTGTCTCCTCGCGATTCAGTCGCGACGATCAAATCGCGTAAAGTCTGCCCGGGGCCTTACGCGGGAAATTTGCTCGGGCAAAAACGGCGCGGTGTGTGTCGTCATGCTCGATTGCGGTCCTGGGCGGAATAGCATTACGGTGCGTCAGTTAATCCACACTCTTGAAAAGTACTTGCACTTGGAATAAAGCTCGGGATTACTTCTTTACTTCCCCATGTAAAACGTTTTTTTTTCGCTTGTAAGTATCAACAATTTTTTAAAAATGATGCCTAGGAATTTAATTTATTGCCAATCTAAAATTAGTTTCCATCTCATCACTTTTGCACATTGATTAGAACAAGAATTCATCACTGCTTTTTATTTTTCTCCGCTCGGTTCACATTCTTACCGCGTTTTCGTCAACATTGCACGTACCTTTATGCTCTTTAACTTTTGACAACAAGCACTGAAACGACTAGTTTTTTTTTGCATTTTTGCGAAGTTGCCATCGCCTTGGCCTTCTCATAACATCTCCTATCACTATGTAGTACATGACTGCGTTAACCAAATTAGAGCTTACTAGGTTAGAGAGTGCAATTTTCAGCGCGCATGCGCAGAGAGATTCTCTGACAAGTGTGTTTTATCATCAATGTCAACACCAACAACGCAAAGGCTAACTCGTGGAAATGAAGATAATACGCGTAAGTTTAATTTTTACCTTTTTTCCTTTTGAGAAATACGAAAATAAAATTCCTTATGTGAAGAAATTTTCTTCAGCTCGCTTCAACGGTGGCGCTTCCAAACGATCCACTAGAGAGCTAGCTCAACTTGCACAGAAACATATCACACAACCGAAAAGTGAGTGCTTGGATTGAGAAAATATAATTTTCTTAAAAATTAATAAAACCGGTGCTTTCAATAATCGATTTCGGGCTTTCAAAATCAATACGACTAACCTTGTCTTCGTCAAAAGGATCACTTTTGATTATCATCTGTTCGTGAGAGTGGAACGTTGTAAAGCGAAGTGAACATTTCGAGGACAACTGCTCATGAAGCGTTGAAACAAAAGTAGCTAATTTTTGCAAAGGAAAAAAATATTTTCGTGATCTACCTGCACGAAAATTGAGAGCTAAAGAATTTAGCTTCGATCTTTCTAATTCATGCAAGATGCTATTCCCTAATGTCCAAATAACTTCTGCTTTTTTTGTCTTTTACATACATACATACATTACTCCGTATATGGCTATTCGCTTTTCTATAGTATAATCTTGCCGTTCCTGGCAGAATTCCCATTGAGAATATTACCAGCCAGCTTTTTAGTGTCATTAGCGTTTAAATGGGTGGGTGATTTCGATGACAAGAAGTTTTTGAAAGCGATTACTTCACTTGAGTTTATATAGATCAAGTATTTTCTGCGCCATAGTTTGTTCTAGCAAATACAAGCAGGGCTAGGCACGAGGTGGCTAGATGAAAATGGAAAAAACGAAGTCTCCCTTGACTTTTGGGAATTTTTACGAAGTCCCCTTTGACCCTGACCCAAATTTCCTCTAAAAACCTGAAAAATTCCCCAAAATCCCCCAAAAAACGAAACGTCGACTAAAAAAAAAGGTCGCCGTCGCCAATTTTCCGTGTCTCTTCGGTCACAAAAACGAAACCCCCTTTGCTTTTCGTCCCAAAAACGATATCCAGCTTGCTTGTAAGCCACCTCGTGCCGAGCCCTGAATACAAGTAAGTAAATTCATGGGTTTACCTCTGTACTTTCGGAAAGCATGGAGGATCGAATCATCAATTACAGCGCTAAATCCATGCAATTCAATTTTTGTTCATATAAATATTGTTATAAAAATGAATCAAAATTTTCTCAGATATGCATTTAAAATTGCTTTTATATAGGTTAGTCAATTCTTGTAACTTCTGTTTATAAAATATAGCCAATTATTTGTAATTGTTCACAATTATTTATTATCTTATAACTTGCATAATTTAACAAAGGAAAACTCCACAGTAATTAATGGCTTTTCAAAAAAGCCGAAAACATTCATTTTTGTAGCAATTCTAATTGTTTTTTGCTTCTGATAATTGCTTGAAATCGCAAACCAGCAGCACTAAGACTTCCTTTGGAAAGTCTTAGTGCTGACACAAACACCGCCATTTGCATTCGTCCATCTCATTTATGTGATATATTATATTTTTTGGGCGATGCACCGTCTAGAATTTTTTTCCCGAAAAATGTAATAATTTTTTGAGCATGATTTTAGCGACATCAAATGTTGCGGTTGTGGTATTCGCTGTACTATACATTGCAATGGCTATCATCGGATTTTTAAATCTTGATAATTGCCCAGTTAGACCGGAAATTCCAATATGGATGATCGTCGCGGCATTTTCTTCTTTGCTGAATATCGCTAATCACTTTTATAAATTATATAAGGTAAGCATTTATTTTCATTCAGCAGGGTGCGCCAAGCAACGCCTAAACGTTTACAAATGTGTGAGTTTTGTAGTTCTAGAATCAGTTTCAACTAAAATAGAAAAGTCATCTGTGCAAATTGGTGCCTGACGTAGACCAATTCCGACTATTCAGAATCCGTTTAGAATCCATTCTTGGTGCGAAGAGGGGGGAAGAGAAGGAAAGAAAGCCCTTGACCACAGCTCCTCCTTTCGCTCCGCCTCCATCATCCACATGTATTTGCACCCCATCAAGATAACTCTGACTAGTAACCAGAAAAAAGTCTGTTTTTCCTAAATCCAAGTCTATCTGTGCTTTATTAATTGTAACATCTCTCTCTTGCCCACAGTCAATATATTCTGACGACTCCAATCTTGTATTCAATAGCTGATATCAAAATACTCGCTAGCTGATTAGTTAAAAAACATAGATGCCGGAAATGTGAGGTTGTAGTTAGTAGCACGTGTAGGCGCAAAATACTTTATTTAACATTTCCAAGCGCTGACGCATTTTCTAATTTACAACCTTGTGATTTTTTTCAATTTTGCCTTTTCGGAAGCTGCACCAACGCAGCGAGATGAGGGGAGGGAAGAAGGAGGAAAAAGAAAGCGGAAAGAGGTTGATTTGCATCGTTTATCTCAGCTTACGGTGATGCTAGTAGACACGAAAGAACTGGATTTAGAGAATCTGAACTTACTTTGACAAAAGCAAATAGTAAGTTTACGCAATTTTCATGGAGAAAGAAAACCACTTTGAGCGAGATATGGAAGGTGGAATAAGATGAAGCACTTCCATGAAATTTGCGAGAGAAGATTGCATTCGAAATGTTCACGAGCAATGCTAAACAAGGCACAAATAAAGTTTGTTGTCCAAATCGTTATGCTGATTAAGAGTATTTCTGGAATTCTTGGAACACCCTCTTGAGCGTCCCATCCAAGGTTTGATTTTGTTCTAGTAATTATGCTATTTCAGGAAACACACAATCAATCTTATCCTCTTTTTGTTCGCATACTTGATGGAATACTTCTAGTTTTTAGGCCCGTGTGGTCAGTTCTACAGTACTTACTCATTTTCTCAGTTATGACAAAAATTCATGGCAGCTATTTTTTCCAGGTTTATAGCAGGATGTGTGTGGGTATATACCGCTTATGTAGATGTTACTTATGAGACTATCGACAATGAGAACTATTGTGATCAAATCACATATAGCACAGCATTAGTCTTCTCAACAGTATTCTGCATAATTGTTGTGTTCATACTCGCATGCCTTTGCTGTGCATGTTGTTATGTTATATTTCATGATGACTCTGACTCTGAAGATGGCAACGATGACATGTAAAATAGTACAAAGGTGTAAATCTAGAGAATCTCAATATACGATAAAGTATTTTGCAATGCTTGTTAGTTACTTTGTTAAAGTTCTGCTCCGGTAGAGTGGTTGGGCTCGGGGCCCGGCACGAGGTGGGCAAATGACAAGCTGGAAATCGTTTTGGGGCCAAAAAGCAAAGGGGACATCGTTTTTTGCGGGATCCGGGGCGGAACCCCGGAAGAAGATTCCAAGTGTAAGCAAAAGAAGGTCGAATCATGCTTACCTTTCACATCTAATTCATTGGGAAGTAGTTTCCATAAACCTCAACACACAGCAGAGTTCGCGCGCGCTATCGCGCCGCCGCTAATTGCCGCGTGCGCGACGTCGCATATGCGATGCCGTTGAACAGCATGATTACATGATCAGTTCTCAATGCAGGCGCAACGGTATAGCACCAAATCATATAAGCGAACGAAGAGAGGCTAGTAGGAACAAAGTATGAAATATTATGAAAAAATTTATGTGAATGGGAGGTGTAATAAGCAATTCTTCCAAAAAATTTGCAAAAGTGGTAAATGAAGATGTGAATTCAAATGGCTCGTTTGCAGCGCACAGATGACCATACGGTATGAAACTTGGTAGGTACATGAACACGAGCCTGCTGGGCTTAACTTTGAAGTTTCATTGAGAATTTATGTGACTGAAGATTGTGGCAAGCTTTTTCCTGAAAATTTCCCACTATCAAGAAAATGGAAAAATGGCTCGTTTGCAGCGCAGAGAAAACGAAATCGTGCGAGACTTGGTGTGTATACGCGCAATAGGAGCAAGGAACAATTTATGAAAAATTATGAAAAACTTATGTGAATGAAGAGCGTGCTTAACTTTTTTCCAAATTAGGTGGGCAATTGCCCACCTAATGCCCACCTGAGGTGGGCAAAACTTTCATTTCACATAATTTTTTCAAAATTTTTACATAAATCTGTTGTTCACCTAAAGTTTACTATATGGTGAGATTTTGGTTCCGAAACTCCTCCTCTTGTCTTTGTTAGAGCCCAAAATCGCATCAGCAGCCCAGCTTTCTAAGACGGAAAGCGCGCCCCAATCAATCGATACGCGCGGGAACGGCGTCTCTCAGTCCTATGACTGCGTTACTTTGCTATTTCTTAATTTTTTCGTCATTTTTTTTTGCTTATTCTTCTTCCTGTTTATCTTGATGCAGGTGAGGAGTAATTGGAGGAATTTGGGCGTTTTGGGCGCTTTTGAGCGCTTTTAGGCGAAGTGTGGCCGGTGCTCTTGCACAAGCACAAAGCATCGTTTTTGAGCTCAAGGGAGTATTCGTCAAAAATATGGTCAAAGGGGAATTCGTTTTGGAAAACCCCGTTTGCCCACTTCGTGCCGGGCCCTGGTTGGGCTGGGTCCGGTTTTTTGGAATACTCTTACAAGGGAACGATCCCAACTCAAGGTGGCGAATTGAAATGAGCTGCATACCATTAGATGCGTTTTGATGAGCTGATTCCAAATCTGTCTTCCATAAGTGCGACACCGTTATTTATCTGGAAAAAGTTATGAACGGTTGAAAATGTGAAGTTATCGGGGGTTCTAATGCAAAATATGCTTTAAAATCCAACTTGGAAGTGCACGACTAGCATGATATTGAGTGTACTGATTCCAGGGAATGCTCAGATTCTAAAAAAACACAGATAAGTGTTTTCGGACAGCTAAGAAGCAACTAAAGTTCTTTGGTAAAAGCTATGAGCAATGAAAAGTCCAAATTTAGCAAATGTACAGCGCCATACCTCGAAAATCAGTCGTTCAAAAACACTTGTCTGTGTTTCTTTAGAATCTGAGCATTCCCTGGAATCAGTACACTCAATATCATGCTAGTCGTGCACTTCCAAGTTGAATTTTAAAGCATATAATGCATTAAAACTCCGATAATTTCACATTTTCAACCGCTCATAACTTTTTGCAGATAACGGTGTCGCAGATACGAAAGACAGATTTAGAATCAGCTCTTCAAGACGCATCTAATGGTATGCGGTTCATTCCAATTCGCCACCTTAAGTTGGGATCGTTCCCTTGTTAGACCCAAATACAGTCTGCCCCAATCCTAACCAGGCCAAAATCGGCATGGCGGGAGTCCGCGCCGCGAGGGTTTCGCGCCACGTCTGCGGCTAGCTGGTCTGCTCTCCTCTCGATCTCTTCACTCTCTGCGACAGCGCGCGTATGCAGCGCAATCCCCTAGCGCTGCGAGCGCGCAAATTCAGCCGACGGTTCGGCCTGATCCCGATTGGGGCAGACTGTACCTCACGCGATTTGGCAATACTCCAACTGGTCATAACTCATCGTAAGGGTTTCTGAATGTACGGAAGATATGGCATTTTATCAACTTCCGGAGATTATACATGTTGTGCCTTTGGGGTCTACCCGTATCGAGTTTGAAGAGATCTAGCAAACTGCAGGATCGCGTGGCGACTGAAATCGCGTAAAGTATGCCTTGTGTTATAAGATCGTGGCTGAAAAACGAAGGGGCATAAGGCACCATCTCATAAATTACAGTCAATTCGATATGTGCAGTTATGTGCAGTATTCTGTTTCGCACACTTCTTGCAGTGCCCTTGGAGTTTTGGGCTCTTACCGGCAGGTCAGTTGGGTGGTTACCCACTGTCGCTTGCGTTTGTTTATTTGAATACAAGACCGTTAGCTGGCTAACTCGGGCATGGGTACATCTCTGTGGAAACTCAAATTCGACATGAGTATTGATTGTTTTCTAGCGTTGACCAAGATGGTATTGATAATTATTGGGCCGAGTTTCGGCGTCCACGCCTTCGTCAGAGCCTGGAAAAGTCAAAGACCATTTTTAATACGTCCTTCCAAACGCCTTATCTCGCTACAGAATCGGTTTTTCAAGATCAGATGAAGCCAAAACGTGCATGTTAGGTCGCAAAGGGAAGGGACGCAGGAGTTCCTAGCACCTCCATTCGCACCAGCATTCACACTCCAGAAGGCTCCTCGCACCTTCGCGCAACAGAGGTCAAACCCCGCCCCGCTCCACTCCTTCACTGGTCTCATTGGAAGGCTGTGGGGTGAGGGAATAGCATAGGCATGCAAAGAAAATTCATGGAAAATCGTCATCTTGCGAGACAATTCCCCTAATTATTACACTTTATAAGCAAAGACACTTTGATATCCCAAAAAAACTTACAGTACTCTAGGTAAGCAGTGAGTATATTTTTGGTTCAAAACTGTTTTGTGAAGGAAAATGCGCTGTTAAGATGACTTTCATTGCAAAGGATTTTTCACAGTTTCTGTTTCTGCATTACTATAGATTAAAGCTGGCCAAACGTACGAAGCATTGCTATTAACGTTTCCAAGATTTCTTGAGGATAACTATCACCATTTTGATACTACTATTTTTGCACTATTTACAACCAGACTCAATACGAAATTTGCAGTGAAATCTTTGAAACTTACTTCTCTGAGATGCCAACAAAAGGATGAATTGGGGTAACTATCTTGAAGAAACCCCTTAGTAAGTGGTTGAATTTTCTTTGATAGGCGAGAACTTTTGCATCGACCTATAATAGTAGATCAGAATTGTTTTGGCATGCTAACAGAAAATTTATGAAATTTCAGCGGATGTTTAGCTAAATTTATTAGGTTGAACACTAAGTTTTGCAACTTTTCTCATAACTTCCCTCTCACTCAACATGGTGCACTCAAATTTTGCCACTGTGTTGGTTATTATGTAAGCTACAAGCGCAGCTGCTGTCCTACCAAATTCTGACGTCGCAGTGAGGGTTACGGTAGGTGCATGGTTTGAAGGGGAAAAATTCAAAGTTTGACGGATTTGGCTGAAACTTGGCATAGGGGTGTTATCGGACATGCTGATCACGAAAACGATAGTGAAATTGCGTGATAAGGGCTTTTTTGTAGGATTACTGTAGGTGTACGATATGGGGTCTTACCCTAAGCAATGAAAGAGGCGTTGGTTTAACAAATGAATATGATATTCGTGTTTAGCAGGCCAAATAACCTTAATATGTAAAGTCTCGGTGGAATTTGAGCTTCGGACTCTTTTTCATTGACGGTCGTCCCCAGCAGCTCTTGCGTACATCAACTCGTTCGAGTTTATGAGGACGCCAAATCTCGACATGTTCCTAAATTTTGTTTCTTTCTTACTAGGCCAAAGGAGTCAACCTCCAGCAATAATTTGTAGACGAATCCGGATTACTGCGCATAGTCTAGGCTGCCAAAGGCTTCATTTTAGCTTGAAACTCCAAAAATTCACAGATTTCACTAGTTTTCGAAAAATGCCTGTTTTTTTTCTATTTCGTGTTCAAAACTCAGACAATTTGCGCTCGCTTGTAGCTCACATTGCATTCTACATGATGCCAAAGTTTGAGTGCGCCATGTTGAATGGGAGTGAAGTTATGAAACAAGTTGCAAAACTTAGTGTTCAACCTAATAATTGCAAAAGTATCAACAAATCCTCTCTAGAAAAAGGTCTTTCTTAACATTCATTATCTTGAAAAGCACCAGAACATGAATGAAAAAAGGAAATCTTAATATTGAAAACGCATTCAAACTTGATGAAAAAGTTGTTGCAAATGATGAGAAACTCAAATTATTGGGCTAATAAGTCAAGATCTAGTTTCAAAACTGTTCTAAACCGCAAAAAGTCAAATTTCGCTTATTCTGGATAGATTCTGTGGTTTTAATTCTATAGAGCACAGCAAGCTCTACAAGGTAGTGTTTTGAAAAGTTGCATAAATTTAATCTACGCGATGTAGCCAAAAAACTAGAAAAATCCAACTGTCCGAAAAATCCGAAAAAATTAGGAACTCCATCAAAAATTGCACTTGTGCAACTTGCTCAATGGATATGTTTTCACATCAGAGGTATAGTGTGGACCCCGGCCAGCTTCCCATAGGTACCTCCGCGACGCGCGCGCAGCGCATGCCTTTAGTGCGCTTTTCGTTTCAGATCTACCGAATTTGTTTTCTCTCTCAAGTGACTTTGTTCTATTCCGTATTTTCTCTATTTTAGGTGCAAAGAACTCACGACGGCTGCCGTTGACGCGTTTTTACGAGACTTGACAGCCTTGACCGCTTCAAATCAATCTCTCTTTTTCTCGATAGTGAAGACTTGGATTTAGTATATGGGGATGTCTCTTCAATGGCTGCTATTACAAAATAAGCCTGTACATCCGATTGATTTTTATCTAAGATGTTTCTGGGCTTTTTATCGCGGCGTTAGGGCTTTGCTTCTAACATTCTGCTCTCGATCTCAAACTTTCTAGCTTTTGTGGCCGGAGAAAAAAACGTTTTAAAAGTGGTCCTCGACTTTTTCTGGTATCTCTATCACCCATTATGGTAGTGTCATACTAGCACCAATGAGACTGACTAAAATCTAAGCGCTGGAGAAAGTTATGAACGTTCTCTTAATGCTTTGGCTTTTCTCAAATTTCGTATAGAAGTTTCCACCTCTCATTTCACTCCTTGTTCAAGCAGAAATGCTTTCTGATCGTAAGTGAAATAAGAAGCGTCCAAGTCGGGCCTGCGTTGCGTATGCGCCGCGGTGGTACCTATGAGAAGCTGGCCGGGGTCCATACTATACCTATATACACATTTTCTGGCGGAAAATCGAGAAAACGGAAGTATCCTTGCTTCCGACAAAGCGATGCCTACAAGTAGACTTCATAACTTTTCATCTGCCACCTTCCATTCGTTGTTATTCATCCATTTAGCAGAACACATTGAGACTATTCTCCAAGCCTGCACAACTCGGAATGAGTTTAGCTAGTGGGCGGAGCAAGTGGGCGGAGCCGTCTAAAAGGTGCGAAGGCCCCTTGGAGGTGCTAATTACCCCTGCAAGGAAAGGCGGCGAGGCTTTGGGAACTCCTGGGCCGCCGCCGGTCGCAAAGAGATACTCACCTTGGAGATAACGAGATTTTGCCAAAGGCCACCCGATAGTGAGGTATACTAGCCATTACGCTATTTAGGCCTGAGGGCCCGCCAACGCAAACCTCAGCTACGTAGGTCAAATTTACATAAGCTCTGGTAAGGTGCGAGCTCGTTTGTTACCGATAAGCACTCCTCTTTTCTGCTTAATTTTGGATTTCTTGCGGATATCCACAACGCCTCGAGAGTTTTGCGCGCTATAATTTCGGGTTCATACGACAAGATCGTGACCTTCACTTCGAACGAAACGTTGGCATGATCTTTCTGGCGGTGGGCTCCCAAAGGCGTAGATGATCTCGACTTACTAAGGCCATCCAAGTGTTCTGTGATACGAACTGGAAAGAGATCGTCCCGTTTCTCCTATGTAGTCTTCACCGCAAGAGAAACACTTGGTTAGATATACCACTCCTGTTACGGCACAGTCTCCTTCTCTTCCACAACGGCAAGTCACACAGTTTGGGCTAATGCAGAGGCGGTCACAAGCTCGGTTCCGTACTAGCAATCTCTTAAGGTTTGGGGGGTGAGGGACATCCACAACCCTTACAGAATCTTGTAGGCCTGCCTGACGCAAGCATGTCCTAACAGCTCTTCTTAACTCCTCCGACATATAAGGAAGGCAGAAGGGGATTAAGTTCTTCTCCGGTCGATTGGATTCCTTCTGACCTCTTAGAGCTCGGGTTTGGGAACATGACTTAATAGAGTAGCCATTGCGCTCTGCCACCTGGTACGCTAGACGCAATGAAACCCGTCGTTCTTCGGTATCAGACGCAACCTCTCTTGCCGTCCTAAACATGTTCGCGATGACGGACTTTTTGATGGACCATGAATGTGCAGAGAGGTAGTATGAAGCCAAAACGTGCATGTTAGGTCGCAAAGAGATACTCACCTTAGAGATAACGACATTTTGCCAAAGGCCACCCGATGTGAGGTATACTAGCCACTACGCTATTTAAGGCCTGACGGGAAACGTCGGCCCAATAAATATCAATACCATCTTGGTCAACGCTAGAAAACAATCAATACTCATATCAAGGACCATGCCAAGATTTGAAGGTCGAACCATCGCATAATTACGACAAGTATCAAATTCGACATTCGTAGTCATGTAGCAGTCGTCATGTAAGCTAAGTCGTCAGTTGTTTAATTGAAAGATGGGCTAGAAGCATATGATGTTTCTATTACTTTCGTTCAGTGTAAACTAACAACTTTCATTGTTTGATTTTATATAGAACGCCTCGAACGTATTTGATGAAAATGAAATGAAGAGTTCTATTTGTGTTGTCATCTGAAAAATATGAGATGAAGGATAAGTCGTTGCTATTGTTTCTGATCTTCAGTCCCGGGGTCGATGAACTAGGTAAGGGAGCTTTTGCTAAATGAACCATATGACAGCGAGGAGTGCGAGTTTGAATTGGACGATAATGGTTTGTAAGGGTTGCCTGTAAACATTACATTTATTTTCGACCTCCCAATTCCGATAAGGATACCTCGTCTCAAAGTTACAAGCTCAAAGAACGGGTTCAAATCACCATTTCTTTCTCTCAGCTCTTCTGAGTGCGCGCAGATTTTACACACTTTCTTCAAATATGAACTTACCTAATGTAGTTGATCGCCCATATAGTCCATAATGGACAAAGATGTGTAACGTAGGTGGTAGATATTTTTTTAGATACCAGTAATGCATCTGCACTCCTTCGAATGGGCCTCTGAAGCAAGTTTGACAACGAAAACTCCTAATTCGGAGATTTCGGCTTTCAACCGATGTAGCACCAACGCAAGTAGAAGCGGATAAATTAATAAAACAAACCGGAGTTGTTCGTTCTCATCGATGTAGCTAAAAAGGGGCATGGCCAAAGTAAGGTTTCTGTAAGAATAGGAAAGTAAGACAAAAACTTTGCAACGGAAAATTGTGATCAAAAAATATGAGATTTCAGCCACCTTAAGAGACTATCGATAGATACAAGTTCCAGTGAAAATTTAGAGAAAAAAGGAAATGGGATGATAACTATAGCAGACTGATCGAACAAAATTACTAGTAGGTTAAGCCGATTCGTTCACACTTTTTGCAAAAAATCATAACTGCATTTCTTTTATTAGAAAAAGTTTACTAAAAACGCTTTGTTTGCAATACTGAGCTTTAAATTCAGAGTAAAGATGGCAAAAGAAATCTTTGAGGTTTAACGAATTGGGCAAGCCCTGTAGATGCAAAAACTGTGCAATGAACTCCAAAACGGCCGGTGTCATATGTTTTCTGACCTCGTCCTTCTAGAACAAAGTTGGTGCTAATAGAGCTCTTCTTTGAAAAGTTTGATTTTTGAGAAAAATGCCAGAAAATCAGCCTCTTCGAAATACTGAAAAAGAGGAAGCCAGAAAACTTATGACATCAGATAAAAGCTTAAAGACATATAAAACTTATGATACTTTATAAAAATATATTTGCAAAAGAAAAGATATTATCTGCTACAAGGATCTGTTAGGATTTGATTTTCTCAATTTGCCATTGATATAGGGAAGCAGACACAAAATTGGTAGCATACTTTTCGAAAAAGCTCAACATGCTCTTGTTGAACACGGCAGACAAAACACATAGGAAAATCATTACATGCATTGATGGCAGAATGAATCACGCACTCCGCCCTTCAAAGGCCTCATCGACATATTTGATTTGAGTTTTGTTATCAGTCTATTTTAGAAGCTTTTGCTAATAACTCAAAAGAGATTCTATTGAATTGGTAAACCAACACAAAATGCATGATATTACAGCTTAATGACAATATAAACTTGTCGTCGTTGCAGAATCTCATTTGACTTGCTGCAACTACATTGGAGTTTTCATCTCCATTCGTTATGTATCCGAATTAGTTGGAGATTCGAAGTTCTGATATTAATTAGAACCTAAGGGATGGTTGCAAAGACTCGGGATGGTACTTCACCAATTGATAACAATGAGACATCGATAAGAAGATAATTTTTCAAAATTTAGTGTACCATGTATTCTAACCAACGTCTTATTCTAGTCGCTCGCTGAAAGTAAGAAACGTTTGATAGATAAGGGACAAAATGACATAATATGAATGCAGAAGCCAAAACCGAAAAAATACAAGTTAATGTCGACCTTCATCAAAAAAAGGATAAGAAGGGATAAAGAGGCAGAAGCGGAGATGTGATGAAAAGAATCAATTGATACCGACTTCAGCCCATGTGATTTTGGTAAAAAAGAGTAAAAAGGACTAGAGAGGCAGAAGCTAACGTATAATGAGAAAAATCAATTCTTATCAACTCAACCCCAAGACGATTCATGTTGAAAAGGAATGAGAAAGAGTAAAGGCAGAAGCTAAGGCTTTGTCCATACTTTACCCGTGATACCTGTGTTACCGGTGTTACTCATGTTTTTCGTGCTACTCGTGTTACCCGTGTTACCCGTGTTACCAGTGTTACCCGTGTTACTCGTGTTACTATTGTTACTAGTGTTACTCACCAGTCAGTGATATTGCTTTTTAAAATGAGACTGTATTGTGATCATCTCACTATTCAAGAACAGTAAAAGCGGTAACACTAGTAACACCAGTAACACGAGTAACACGGGTAACACTAGTAACATGAGTAACATGAGTAACATGAGTAACACTGGTAACACGGGTAAAGTATGGCCAAAGCCTAAGCCTTGAAACATAAGTCTTACACCAATCAGGTAGGAACCGCATTAACTCATATTTCTTCCCTATTCCACAGTTCTGGGGTACCATTCAGCAAAGTAAGCTCTACAATATAGGGTATTCCGTTATCCGGACCCACTTCTTCAAGAAAGTATATTGCTTCTTTTCTTGTACCAATTTTAGTAAAAACTCAACAAGATGCAGAGTCAACTTTCTGCTACTTGTCAAGAAATATTGACATGTCATTTACATATCTAACAGGTTTTATACCAAGAGTTTGTTTAGCCTGCCTATCAAAGTTCAATCTGCTTTTTTTTATTCAAGTACAACCCCATTTTTGGTCAACATTTTCTTTTATGAGGTCTAACATTATAAGAATGACATTCCGTGTTTGAATGAACACATAAGGTTTTTATTCGGCAGCCAGGTATTTTGAGATATCTTATATATAAAGCTGAATGTCTGTTTGTCTGTCTGTCTGTCTGTCTGTCTGTCTGTATGTCTGTATGTATGTCTGTACGTATGTTCCGAATAGAAAATTCCATTTCTGAACCGATCCGGACCAAACTTGGCACACATACACTACGGGCCCCGGCGGGTGTCATAGGCTACTTTTCGTCATCGATCGATATCGATTTTGTCGATTTTTATCGATTTTTTTGCTGAGTTCACCTACGGGGCTGGGAGTTGGCACAGGGGGGTAATCGAGCATGGGGATTCCGAATACAATATTGGTTTTCAGGATTATCGATTACTTTTATCGATTTTATCGATTTTTTGCAAAGTTTGAGCTACGGGGCTGGGAGTTCGCACAGGGGGTAATCGAGCATGCAGATTACGAATACAATATTGGTTTTCGGGATTATCGATTACTTTTATCGATTTTATCGATTTTTTTGCAAAGTTTGAGCTAGGGGGCTGGGAGTTGGCACAGGGGGGTAATCGAGCATGCTGATCACTCCCAAGGGGGGTGATCAGCATGCTCGATTACACCCCTGTGCCAAATTCCAGCCCCCTAGCTCAAATTTTCAAAAAATCGATAAAATCGATAAAAGTAATGGACGATCCTGAAAACTAATAATGTATTCGTAATCTGCATGCTCGATTACCCCCCTGTGCAAACTCCAAGCCCCGCAGGTCGAACTTTACAAAAAAAATCGATAAAATCGATAAAAGTAATGGACGATCCTGAAAACTAATATTGTGTTCGTAATCAGCATGCTCGATTACCCCCTGTGCAAAATCCCAGCCTCGCATGTCAAAATTTACAAAAAATCGATAAAATCAATAAAAGTAATCGATAATTCTGAAAACTAATATTGTATTCGGAATCCCCATGCTCACTTCCCCCCTGTGCCAACTCCTAGCCCTGTAGGTGAACTCTGCAGAAAAATCGATAAAAATCGGTAAAATCGACATCGATCGATAACGAAAAGTGGACTGTGACACCCGCCGGGGCCCGGAGTGTATGTGTGCCAAGTTTGGTCCGGATACGGCGGAGCCGGGTAAGCCAGCTAGTCATCTATATTCTTTTACTGCCAGATTCGCATGGTGGAAACAATGTGAATAGCAGGATTTCCTTCAATCATTGTTGAAGGCTATGTAGGTGTTTTAACAGATATTTGAAATTGTTTTGCTTTTATAAAAGACCCCTGAACAGCCATTTCAGCTGCTCTCTCGCAATTTGACGGAAACGGTTTTGAAAAAACATGTCAAACTGGTCCCAACGTATTGTTTTTTATCTTGACACTTGCCAAGGAGACAGTCCTCGTCAGATTTATAACGAAATTTCTTGCCTGAAGCATGTATTTCATGAGAACATATCTAAAAAAGAGTCCAGATAATGGAGAAGTACCAAATATATAAATGTTTGCATACTCGTCCAACTTTGATCCACCAGAAGTTTGAAGGGAAAACTGAAAAGATCCAACTGTCCGAAGAATCAAAATCATATTTCCGCCCAAAAAATCCTACAAAAATTCTAAATTGCTCAGGCATATATTACACTAGCTGCCATACCCCTCTCCGCCCGGCAACATACACTTCGGTCAAAATAAAACCGAAGTTGTATTCCTCAACAAGAGGAATACAACTTCGGCTCTTTAGTTGTACCGTTTCGTTCCTACCCTTAGACGGTTTGGCTAAACAGGTCCTAGGCTTTCCCCGGAACTTATCAGTAAGGAAGGAAGCTCGATTGGACTGTTCAGCTCCTTGTTTGTCCCACCCACCTGCCTTGACCGCCGCTGACCGCCAGTTTCTTTGGGTTTTCCTTTTTCCATCTTTTGGAATTTGTATTTTCCAATTTTTTTGGATTTTCCGATAGAATGGCATGCAACAAATAAACAATGTACTATACTACAGCATGCAATCATGTTAGCGCCCTGGGATACACTATGTTAGCTGTGCTCCCTTCGGGCGCATATATGTACAGGTTCGCCGACTCCCGCCTCGAACACGCCACATACAGCTGACCATGCGAAAAACAGGGAGTTTCCAGGTCTACTCCTACTGTTCGCAGAGACTGTTTTTGCGCTTTGTTGATGATCATAGCGAGTGCAGGCCTGACCAGAAACTGCACTCGCCTGAAGTCAAAGGGCATCTCGGAGGGGACCAAAGGGACTCGTGGAATATGAACAACTTCGCCTTTGAACTTCCCCGCCGATATGTTCGCTACTATGACGTTTGGCATGAGATCCCTGATGCAAAGCCTTGTACCATTGCACATCTTCGGTGGGTTGATGTTACGAAGGAGCATGATTGGCAAGCCAACGTTCAGATCAAGTCTGTGAGGTGGTATCCCATTGGGCTCGAGTAAATTCAAGAACTCAGTGGGGAAGTAAACATCCTGTTTACGCTGAACCATCGTATTAACGGATGTGTACGTTGACACCGGTCCAGGCTGTTTAAAATCTGAGCCTTAATGGGATTCACTTGCTCATTTTTGGGTGCCAAATTTGCCGCTCGCAAATGCACTTCCCATTGCTGAAGTTGGTGGCAATGTTTGGGAAGACCTTTTCGATCAGTTCTCCCACCGATTGAACCATATTGCAGAAGTCTGGAGGAAAGGTAATCCAGCCAGAACTTGGTTCAACCGGAATTCTGCCTTCGCCAAGAAGCAAAAGCTTTTGCGAAAAGCTTCGGGCAGTCTCATCGCCAATGAGGTGAACTCGCATGTTCGTCGTGAGATTCAGCGATCGAACAAGTCAGAGACGAGAGGCTTTGAGGCAAGCATCCAGCTCATCCGCTGGAGTCGATCGCGGAATCACTGGCAGAGTTTGACGAAAGTCGCCTGCCAGTAGCACGACAGCCCCGACCATTAGCCTGTTGCTTCTTCGTATGTCCCGTAGTGTGTTGTCAATGGCTTCTAGACACTTATTATGCGCCATGCTGCATTCGTTCCAAACTACGAGTTTGGTTTCTTGTAGCACCTTGGCTTTCCCTGTGCCTTTGCTTATCCCACACACTGCGTGCTCTACGTGAGCAATATCCAGAGGAAGCTTGAAGGCTGAATGAGCAATTCGACCTCCTTCTAGCAGTGTTGAGGCAATCCCCGAGGATGCCACTGGCTAGTGCGATTCCTCCTTGTCTGCGAATCTCGTCATGTAGGAGATTGATGAGAAACGTTTTCTCTGTTCTACCTGGAGCGTCGAGAAAGAGTAGCCCACCCTGCCACTGAAAATCGTGTCCAGAAGAGCACGGTAAACCAACTCTTGATCCTCCGTAAGAAGAGGTCTGTTGGACTCCACAAATGTGGTCAGCTGATCGGCATCATAGGTCTCTCTCGGAGGAAATCGCTCTCGAGTGCCTAGTCATCTCCGCATATTGGTGACGGCAAACCGAGGTCTCTGAGGGTTCGACCGGTCATCGACACGCATGTATCCTCAAGCAGTATCAACGCTCGGTTATATCTCGGGAGAGTAACCGACGTCTGCAAAGGGTGCCACTCTGCGAC